TCTGTTACGATGCTCTGTGTTTGATTACTAATGCCTGTGTAGTACTGCGTTGCACACAGGAAAAAAACATTCAGCCTCGACTCTTTATTGTCATTTGTGTTAAAATTTGCAAAGCGTAGCAAATTGAACAAAACTATATAAATGCAAAATTTGAATTCATGAATATATAACGGTATCCACGGTATAGCAAAATCCATATCATGGAACAACATAACATAATACCAGTAGTCACTTTCATACCGGTATAGCGCCCACCCCTATCATCTACAATGTGATTCACGGCTCATAGTAAAGGAGGTTTATCATACCCGGTCAAGGTGTACCAGAACACTAGCTATGGAGTCAAGGAAGCTTGACAGCTGGTAGACATTTTCATCATCCCGGTCAGTCTCTGTCAAATACATCTGCTTGCACCACTGAATCAGCTCTGTATACATCAGATCTACATCCTGAGGGCACACCACCTTACATGGCTAAAGGCAAACAAACACCGAACACAGAAGTCAGAGAATCTTAAAAATAAAAATTAGAAACAGAAAATACAATAGCACAAAATAATTTGACTTGCTGAGAGATTTTGATTTTAGACTACTGTCACTATTCTGTTAAAATGTCCAGATACAAACCGCAGCAAACAGGCCAAATCCTCTGATAGCAATGGACAGTTCTTTATTAGTGGATTCCATGGTCCTGATTATAGCACAGAACTTCTGCATGAAGTACTTCAGCTTGCTTTTGTGCACCTCAATGTTCTCCGCCACAAGAGTGGCCACCTTTATCATAACCAAGTTAAACATGTCACCAAAAATAAAGAAATAAAATGAAAACATTTATATATTGAATGGTCAATAAACAGAAATTACCTGTATTAGGAAAGACTCTAGTGCCATGTAACTACTATTTTTCAGCTCTCCATTGATATGTCCACAAAGTTTGAACATAACATCAAAGATAGACATGTAATGATCCATGAGACAATTGCCGAACTGGCTTGAATGCTTAGCAAACAGTTTGAGACCGGCTGTCATGAGTCGAAAAAGGCAATGAATGAATGAAACATTGGATGTATTGCATGAAAATACATGTCGATATCAAATTCCACTCACCACAGATGACTGCATATGGTTTCATATCAGTCTAGAGATGCAAGGAAGGAAGAGATTTATTTATTGAGGAGCCCTGAACAGAAAATGTGACATGTACTACACAAAAAGGGTAAAAAAAACAACAACATTACTCCTACCTGTGGACAGATTGCCTTCAGCGCATAATCAAATATTTCTTTTGACGTAACTGGGTCTGTTTAAAGCAAAGCAGTGAGAATATTCATTCAATTACAGTAGGATAAGACCAGTGCAGGACAGTAAATTTACACAAACTCAGGCCCACCTTCTTCCATTGATTTAGTGAAGTTCACCATCAGAGCTGTGATTCCTTTCAGGCATCCAGCAACAACAGGAAGTTTTGGCTCTTTTGTAGTAGATGTCATCTGAAAACCATTGATTTTAGCACTTCTATACATACATATAAGATCACATTTCCATATGCAGATGGGACGCCTTTACCTGTCCTTTCAGTTCACCCAGGTAGGCCTTGTAGAGTTTGTCTGAGTTGTTGACCATCTCACTTGGATGCACTTCACCAAGCACACCGAGAAGTTCATAAATGCAACCCAGTACTGTTGGTAGGGAATTTGGTGTTTTAATAATGCATACAGCATATGCTAACGTGATTGTTTGTATTCTGACATGCAACTAAAAATACATCATAACATTAGTCTTGTTACAGTGACTAATGACAACGCCAACATATTTTTGCTACAAAAGAAAATTAAATAAGACTATAAGCCTCAACTTGCCTGTACCAGATATCTTACTCTTCTGAGACAACTCTCCGTAAAATTTGTTGAACATATCACCAATTTTGAGATGCTGGGTGATGCTGGAGTCTTTTGTGAGATTCAGTATCTAGAGAGATTTGTAAGATGTGTTAACACTGTTTGTCTGTAAATATCAAAATATGTCATTAGCACAGGTTCTCTGTCTCCAAGTCAGAGTCAAAAAACAAGAGTATAAGCTACAGGCTCCCTTTCTCCCTTGGCTACAAGTCTAAGTTAAGTCTCAAATCAGTTTTTTTGTGACTTACAGTAAATTACAGCATACAGTAGGTCAGCAGTGTGTTTAAAGAACTTACTTTGATTAGGAGATGTAAAGCAGGGCTTCGGCACTTTGCAGCTTTGTCCTTTGTGTACACAACAATACAAATGTCCTGTCCATGCAGAGAGAGACAAGAACACTCAGAAATGACAAAACAAAGTAAGTTAGTGTTACAAATATGATACATAATTTTAAGTCAACTAAATCCAACCAGAAAGAAATCTGCCGACTACTGGTTGAATGTACCTTAAGTTTGACAGCATAGTTCTTCTCCCATCCTCGGACAGTGACTGACATTCTCTCCAGAAACTCCCCTAAAAAATTCAGAATATCCCCTCTTGTATCCCGCAGCTGTAGACAAACCATACGATCAATACTTTTATAACATAATAATTAAATGTGTCAGGAAGATTTACCATATATCATTACTAGAATATGCCTGTAAACACCTCTTACCGTTTCATCAGAGAGAGACTTTCTGAGAAAACTAAGCAATCCCTCTTCCTTTGCAAAAAGCAAAGATGTCCATAAAACTGAAAATGAAATGCATTAGAAAACATTTCAAGATCAACTGTCATCAGGCTGAATAAGACAATTGAAAAGGCAGACTCGGTGATCGGGGTTGGCCTTGAACCACTAAAGGTGGTAGTTAAGTGGAGGATGATGGAGAGGCAGTTTTAACATTAAGTGACATGACATCCTGACGCACAGATGCCATTGGCACATGCCGCTATGCTCAGTGACTCTTCCGGTGGCACTTCCTGTTTTCAGTGGCATGTGTCAGTGGACAGTGGCATGTGTCACTAAAACCTGTGACACATGTCAGTGGACTGCGTCTTGTGTCAGTTGCCGCGGTGCGTGTCGCTGCATAATGTAGATTGCGTGACACACGCACTTAACGGCAGAATGAAGCCGAATTGAATTAATTAACAGTATGTTGCTATCAAACATACGATTTATTACATCGCGGAGTTCATTTGTACAACAAAAACTGATTTCCTATATTAAGATTAAAATGTGTCTTATGCCCCTTAATGTGTATTTTTCATTGTAAGTTTATTTCCAGTAGCCTGCTTTGTGCAATGCATTCAAATACGTAAATACGCGTTTTTTTCATTTTTGCATAGATTTGGCAGTTCAGCTGTATCATTTGTAATTATAAAAGAATATAGAGACTATGCAGAGGCCATAACTAAAAAAAAAGAAAGAAAAAAAGAGAAGTTTTAATAAAATGTGCCACCACTAACTGATACTTGCCAATCATGAATTAGCCTACATATAAATATAAACTGATGAGAAAATGCCACAAACCATTATGATGTCTACTATTCTAACGTGCTTTATGAAACTTACACCAACCATTCAAAACTGTGCTTGACCTTGAATTCTGTAATGTAATGTAAGTCTGCAACTTAAAGCAAGTCTAGATGCTATATTAAACAAAGTTTGTACTTATTAACGTATTAAACAGGTTTTAGTGACACATGCCACTGGAAACCGGAAGTGTCACTGAGCATAGCGGCATGTGCCAATGGCATCTGCCATCTGTGCGTCAGATGTCATGTCACTTAATGTTAAAACTGCTGCTGGGATGATGGCTAAATTGAGGACTATAATTCGTACAATGGCACGAAGAGCACCTTCAGCTACAGGCTAATCATGCATCTGAACAATTTATCACCAATGTGCGGACTAATTCAAATCTTTTCTTGCAAATCTTTCTCACCCGTAACCTGAACAAATACAAACATGCAGTGCTTAATCTGAGCCAGATCCTGCCGGATCCTGTTCCGGAACAAAATCGCTCTCGTTGATTGGTGCTACTGCTTAACCCACTCTCTCTCTTTTGTGAGCAGCGGAACGTTGGAGAGAGTGTAATACCAGAAATAATACCAAATAAAGTTAAATATTATAATGTATAAACATTATAAACACTCAAATCATAGCCTAGTTCCCCTCACTCCAAAACAAATCATTTAAATGTAACGGTATGCAGAACAGATCAAGAATGAAAAAAATATATATAAAGCTCAAGAAGCCAAAACAAAGTGAAACTGAAAGTACCGTTGGTCTCACGTACCTCTCTCATTCGGCACAAATCCAATGTTTCCATATCCGCAATGTATTCCAATGTTAAACTATTATTTATAATGTAGACTATGCTTCATGCGTGTTCGCAAATCGACGAAAAAATCATCCTCTTTGGCATAACAGCAGCTGTAGACCGGTTATACTATCTTCATATTGATATGTTTGGCTGACTGTATTTTATTTTGATAATGAACAGACTGCGATGGCAAGTTTGAATAACTAGAATATGGTGTGTGTGTGTGTGTGTGTGTGTGTGTTCGCGCGCGCGATCAAGCTGACACATTAAATACTCTTTTTGTCATACAGACCATTTTTGGTCATACAGATAAGAGTAAAAGACAATCCGCAAAGAATAATAATAATAATAATAAAACGAACACTATTCTTTTTGTATTCTATTTCTTTTCTTTTTATTTATTTTACAATTAACAAAAGCAAAAAAGGCCTCTAACACTAGCTTGCTCTATTCTTCTTCTATTCTATCTGTTTTCGTTTCCCCTCACTCCAAAACAAATCATTTAAATGTAACGGTATGCAGAACAGATCAAGAATGAAAAAAATATATATAAAGCTCAAGAAGCCAAAACAAAGTGAAACTGAAAGTACCGTTGGTCTCACGTACCTCTCTCATTCGGCACAAATCCAATGTTTCCATATCCGCAATGTATTCCAATGTTAAACTATTATTTATAATGTAGACTATGCTTCATGCGTGTTCGCAAATCGACGAAAAAATCATCCTCTTTGGCATAACAGCAGCTGTAGACCGGTTATACTATCTTCATATTGATATGTTTGGCTGACTGTATTTTATTTTGATAATGAACAGACTGCGATGGCAAGTTTGAATAACTAGAATATGTGGTGTGTGTGTGTGTGTGTGTGTGTGTGTGCGCGCGCGATCAAGCCGATCAAACAGATGACACATTAAATAGCCTAGGCCTACTCCATTTTTGGTCATACAGATAAGAGTAA